TACGTTCCCTTCTCCTCGCATTTCCCAGTCTTTGTTTCCCTCGTTCCCGTTTCCCGTAACTTTGTCTCTGTTCATTCATTGTTATATCCTTGACTCTACTCACCCTCCCCATGCTATTGCCATGGGTAGAAAGTAAAACGTTGCCAGTTACCTGTGAAATAATCGTCGTATAATGAGAGGAGACCGTCCACTGGTATTGGAATGTGGCATTTTATGTGACCGGCTCAAGGCTACAGACGGACAGATATGGCCCTAGAGGCTTACTGCACACGGGAAAACTAAGAACATTTGCCAATAATTCCGTGGCCTTAAAATAAAATAATAGATAGTTGGAGACGTTCAGGGCCGTGGCCCTTTTTTCGTAGCACACGCGGCATGTGTTATGAATAAGGGCTTTTGCCCGAAAATATGCGTGATATATTGTTAGACGTGTATAACAATGGTTTTCGTTTTAAGCCCATAGTGTTGTCATTCAAGAATGTCTTTTTTGGGGTTTTTTTTTTACATTATGATTTGTATTTGTGTATCACTGCCAAGATCAGCGGGTAAATAACTAAATATTGACGTTCGGGAGGCAAAGGCAGACAGTTAAGGTGCTCGCCACATCACTCTCCTCGTGTTGGGTTCCGGCCCAAAATAGGTGCTCGCTAACTGCACTTGCCCCAACACCCTTGTGCACTCATCAGTGTCGCAGGCATCATCGGAAAAAAGGGGTCTCGGTGACTTGAGGCGCTCTCCGGAGCCTTGAAAAGCTCCGTCTCGCTCTCCGACAGAACCTGCGTGCACTCCGTCTCCCTATCTCATCTCTGCACAACACCGCGGCGAATATCTCCCCGGACCTCTCGCGTTTCTTCTCCCCCCCTTCCTTTCATGCCTCGCTAATGGCCTCTACATCGACGATTCTCGCTCCCCTCTCCGCCCTGCACCCTCCTCCTCGTTGCCGTGCCTGCCGCGGTCACGTGCAGGTGACCACCAGCAAAAGGGATCCAGGCCCCATCGCACCATGCTCCCTCTTCTACCTTTATTTCACCTTTTTGGGTGGTTTTTTCACTTCCTCCTCCACAGCTGAGACTTGTCATTTCAAGCCAAATCAAGCGCATCGTGAGACAGACAAACAGAGGGAGAGAGGGCAAGAGAGTGAGGGAAGGAAGGAAGAGAGAGAGAAATAAATAAAGAAAGAGAGGCATTTCTTAAGATATGCGTGGCGAGGCGTTCATTCAGCGCCGGACACGAAAGGACCGCGAGCTCCCGCAACGTTTCGCTCGATTTTATTTTTTACCGCGCAATTTGGAAGCGTGAATTGAAAAAAAAACACAAACAGGGGAGAAGAGACAGAGAGACGAGGGTTAAAAGAAGAAAGGATACGACATCAATGTAAGTTAGCGGAACACCATAGTAAGCCCGCTCGCCGTCGGGATAGCGCGCGTTCATTATGCACGCACGCACGCACGCGCGTTCCTCCGCTCCCCTTCAACTGCGCGCGCGCGTGCGCGCTCCCCTCCGTTCCAGAATCAAACGGGGGACAAATTAAGAGAAACGAGAAGAGGATTACGCGCTGACCCGCGAGCGCACGCAATGCAGCGATAGTCGCCTGGGTAATTGGGTGGGCAGTGCCGCGACAGCTCTGCGCTGTTTTGTACAGGCGGCAGCGTCTGTCTCTCTGTGTGTGTGTGTGTACGTGTGTGTACGTGTGTGTACGTGTGTGTACGTGTGTGTACGTGTGTGTACGTGTGTGTGCTCCATTGTGCGCGTAAGCCTGGTGAAGCCGTGTACACAGCCCCGAGAGGGGAGTGACGCCGATTAGAAAAGCCTAGTTTTGCCACACTACACGTGATTCTAGACTTGAAGTTTTCGTGACTGCAAGGATTCACACTCTTTATCTACTTCCAGCATCTACATTACAAAGCCTCAGTTTGAACTCCAATCGTTGCTCGGGGTACGCAACGCTACCTCCCAGCCCACACCCAGCCACTCCCCACACTCACCATGCCCCCTCCCCACATCCCCCCGCCACTATATAATTACTCGTCACAGCCACCTCTGAGACACACTTAAGGGGTGTGCTTTCGCTAAGTTGTCCCCGCCTGAAGAAGTACGCTTGTGTTACGCCCGAAACGTCGTTATTTAATTTATTTTAATAATCTACGTGATGCCGCGCTTATACGTTCAGCCACGGCACGATGCCGTGGTGGTCATGGTTAGCACACTGGAATTGCCGTCCAGAGGTCACCGGTGTGACTCGATCTCTCGGCACGGCAGTTTGAGTGACATTTGAACCGGTGCTTCGCTTCCTCTTCGCCAATTCGTGCCGACCAGTGTGGTGAAGTATGCTCAAACAACCACCCCCACCCTCCCTCCATGACTGACATGTCGTGTGGAGGCCTTCATACAGCAGTGGATCGATTAATGGACTGAAAATTGTCATTGCAATAGTAACTATTATTTTATAACCCTAGCCATGTTTGCAAATGTGACATTATTGCTTTGTACCCTGTAACAATGGAATGGGCATAATATGACTTTGAAACCCCCCACCCACCTCCTACGCATTCCACAAGTAGTGACTAATCCCATATCTGCATTTGCCATAAATATGCTAAATTATTATTGATATGCAAATTATTTTGTCAAGGCGCTCTTCCCCCTCCAACCCATCTTAAATACACGCTCCAAGCCTGGTGGTGTTTCATTCAGACGCTGTCTTTCCGACAGACCTGTTCTTCACCTGAGGACGGCTGCTTGCGTTGTGGCCGAAACGTCGTGAGAATTATTTTATTATCTTTTATTTTTATTATTTTATTATTTCCCTTCTACGTGAATTTACCGAAAGAACCAAGAAGATGAATCCCTGCAGTCACGAAAGCTTTAAATCGAAATGTAATGGGTACTGAACACGAATCCGTAATGCTTGAAACAACAAAAAATCCACGACGCCTTCACCTATAATACCGCGATCTAAACGTGCCATTGACGAATTCTTTATTTTTCTGTTCGGCATGCATATGCGTCGCTGCCAATGTAGGCGCACAACAACAACAAACGCAAGAGAGGTTTTTTCGGGTTTGATCGCGATCTAACCCCCCAAAAAACCTCTATTATGGATGATATTGGTCGCGAAAGCCTGCTACGTGTTACACTAACAAACGTGTTCACAAAACATAAAGGATGCAGATATATGAAGGAGACGCTTTGGCCGCGTGTCTGCCTTGTTTATCTTTGTTACGTGCTCGACACAGACGCAAACGATTCGCTTAACTTGTACCTTGAACGTAGGGTCGGTAGCAAGACCACGGATTCGCGAAAATATCTGCCGACTGTCTCTTTCTCTCTCTCTCTGTGTGTCTGCAACAAAACAAAACAAAACCCGGTCGTTTTCATGATTTATTTCGTGTTTCTTTCAAAACGCTCGTTGGGGGTCAAGGCCTCTCTGGATGTGAACCCGAGCAATGACCCCTCGCTCTGCCCCTCTCCTGGCTGGAATTTCCGCCACGCGCTTCACTTCACGCTCTTCTCATCCTCCGTCTCTCGCAATTTCGCTCAGCAGGCGGGGGTCGAGGGGCTGGGGTGTGCGTGAGGTGGAGGAGTGGGCTGGCGGCTGACCTTTCTCCGGGTGGAAGTTGCCCCCACGTCCGTGACCATTAGCCGGGGGGTAGCAGGCACGCTCCAGGGCAGCTCTTTAGAAAGAGCAGCGCTGGTGGGGGCTCAGAGAGCAATCGGCTCTGGCGCGCCAGACGTTTAAACGATAACCGCCAAGGCATTTGATTAAAGGGGTGGCGCCGATGCAATATCTCGCTTATAGCAACGTGTGAAAAGGTTGTTTGCAATCAATGGGGTAGAGGGTCGGGGAGGGATCGATGCATTTATTTAGAATGTGTACGCCGATCGGGGGCGTGGGGGGGGGTGGTGGGGGGGTTGGGAGGGGGGTGAGAGGGGGCGATGAGATGAGACGCGGCCGCGACGCTTACATTGCAAGGGAAACATTGGGTGACAGGTTCATGTCTGCATGTGGAGTATCGATGGAGAGAGTGTGTGTGTGTGTGTTGCCTTTGTTGCATGTATGGCTGGCACAGTGAGAGAGCACGGGTTTTGCATCCGCCATAATCTGAATCAATGAACCCATAACACCCGGGTCTGTCCAATAACTTCCTGCCAGCGAGCCTTCGACACTTCACGCTGTCTCAAAGTGCACCACGCCTTGCACGATATCTGTGGTGACATCACCGCCACTTGGATGTGTAAATGTCGGACTTCTTTCGGACCGTACGTAGCCAACCGTGCCAATCGCCACCTAGTGGCGAATGGCGACTGTTGTTGTGTGAGTTCTATGTGTCTGTGGATACGTGTGTGTGTTTGTGTGTACATGAGTACCCGGTGCGATGTGTCAACATACAGCACTGGGGAGACAAAGGCGGCTGGGCGTGATTATAGCCACACCACCCTCTCCTTGCGCCGTATCAGCCTTAATAGGTGCTCGCTCGCAGCACTTGTCCCAACAGCCCGTGCAGGCACCACAGGGGAACTTTGTCAGTGTGGGTGTGCATGGCGCGGTTGCGCAGTAAGTTCATGCACTGCCCCACGTACCGAGCCTCCCGAGTTCAATTCCCAACCAAGGCTAACATCAGTGGCGGTATTTTGGACTGGCCCTGGTTCTCCCCGAGGTCACGGTGTGTGAACGCCAGCACTGGGGATACAAAGAATGCGAAGAGTGTCACTGACCACACCGCCCCATCGCTTTGTTTGCTGTACCGGCCGTAATAGCTGCTCGCTAACAGCTCTCGTCCTAACGCTCTGGTAAAGCCTACGCAGCACGAGCAGATATTTGCATCGAAGCCACAACTGTGACCCCCCACCCCCAAATCCGCCGTAAAAGAAAATACGGCTGATATACTCTTTAACAAACGGATCGATTTCTACGTAAACATGAAAAAACTAAGACTGATTAAATCAACCTCTCTCTCTTTCTCTCTGCCCCCCCCCCTCCCTCCATGCTGGCCGTGCAGTTGAGGTGCCACCCTTCTTCAAGAGAGAGCCCCTGCACACGCAGCTGCACCTGGAGGGCAACCGGCTGGTGCTCACGTGCCTGGCGGAGGGCAGCTGGCCCCTGGAGTTCCGCTGGCTCGTGAACGACACCGAGATCGCCCCCTTCTCGCCTGAGAACAGGTTGGCTTAATTAGAGGGCAATTAAAGACGTGCCGGGGCCGTCGCCAAATCGTAGCTGGCACGCCTGCCAGCGTGTCCCCCCGCCCCCCGCCCTCCGACCCATCTCCATCCCCCCCCCCCTCTCCCCACCTCTCCCCACCCACCACCTCCAGCCCGCGCAACCGGCGCGTGCTGCTGTGTCTGTGCGTCGTGCGTCTGTTGTTGGGCAGCGGGAAGCGGCGTGATGGTGAGCACGCAGCACTCGTAAATCAGCGACACCAGTTCGATTCGGGCTCACGGCCAACATTCGTGACCCGGTCTTGAATTAATTCCTTGGTGTGGTGTGTAAACATCAGCCCTGGGGAGGTAAAGCGGGCGGGCGCACACAACCCTCCGATGCGCTATTATAAACTTAAAAGTGATCACTCACAGCACTTGCCCCAACAGTCTGTAATCCCTTTAAGGGGGAATTTCTTTAATTACCGATGTCACTGGCAAATGCTGCTGGTCTCGGTCGGTTTACCCATAATACCTGGGTTGGGTCTGTCCCGTAACCCCTGCCAGCCAGCGAGACTCCAACACTTCGCGTGGCATCACAGTGCACCATAGCCTGGCACAAGCACCGTGGTTACATCGCCGCCCCTTAGCAGCATCGGATAGCAGTTGTTGTTGATGTTGTTGTTGTTGTGGTTGTTTTTTTTGCCCGTGTCGCTCGCAACCGGGTTCCATGCAGCAAAGTCGTACAAGCTCGATCCCCACCAAACGTGCAGTACGGTTCCACGCAGCGTTTCGCTGAAAAGTTCTGCCAAGAGCGGGGGCGCGTTGCAAACTTAATTCAAGCGAAACGTCCCGGACGGCCCGTTATGAAAAAAAAAGTTAGCCGACAGCACACCGGGATTGGTGTCCCCTAATGCTTGTTCGGTGTTTCATTTTCTGCTCGCGCTGTGATATGCACGGTGTGCGCGTGTGTGCGTGAGTAAACGTGTGTGAGTGTGTGTCTGATGATATAGCACCCGACCAATATTCTGTTTAGGCTCAAATGGGGGATCTTTGTGCGTGTGTGTCTATATGTGCGTGAGTAGACGTGTGTGTGTGTGAAAGAGAGAGTGAGTACACGAGCGTGGGTGCATGGTTGAGTGGGCAGACAGCGGTGGCAAAGCGGTTAGCACACTGCGCTATGAACGGGGCCGCCTGCGCTCAATGCACAGCCGTGGATACGATCAGTGGTGAGTGATATCAGAATGTGTCCCGGGCGCCCGCTAGGGCGACTTTACCTCAAATGAGTACCTGGTGTAGTGTGTGAACTTCAGCGTTTGAGAGACAAAGGTGGACAGACAATATTTTGGCCCCTTAGACGTGGCTTGTGCTCCTAAACGTAATAGGTGCTCGTTAACAGGACAAGCAGCAAGAGCCTACATCTAGGCTACACGGGGGGTCCTCGTCTTTGTGTGCGCGTGTGATCGAGACACAAACAGCCAACTCATGCAGTTAATTTAAATGAGCAAAATAACAATATGTTTGAAAGCTTAAGAATTGCATTTTTAGAACGATATCATTATTATTATTATTTCCCTAATCATCATCATTAATCCTTCCACACGCTCACGTGGGTCGTGCGGTGACTCTCTCGCACATCACCACGCGGATAATTGCGGGTTGGCGGGGAGCATAGACGTGAATCACAGAAGTACGGTACAACACTCCGTATAATTGAACACAATTAATGTGTGGCAGTTTAATTGGGCAGTAACATCAATTAGATCTCCCTGTACAAGTTGCATGGGGCATATCTTGCAACAGACGAAGCTTCAGGTTTATCACAGATGCCCCCTGCACATTTACCCCCACCGTCCCCCACCACTCATCCTCCTTCACCTCCCCCTTGTAGCAGAAGATGAAGTTTGGGAGCAGATGTCATTCCGTCGGAAATAAAATTGTCCATCCTAAGCCAACCCTCCGTCTGCCTAAGCTACGTCAGGGTCATGGCCGGCTCACACAGGGATAGGAGCAGAGGAATCTACATTTCACGTCTGATCTCGCTCTAATTGGCATTTCCAGACCCATATTCGAGGCTCGCGGTCTCTAAATCTTGATACGGGGCGGGGTCTATTGCCCTTCAGCGGTTCCAATGGTGCCTCCCAGCCTCCACTCTGCAGCGCAATATGATTGGCCAGACCATACCGCGCTTAACGCAATTTTGTACAGTTTTATGGCAATTTACGAGCAACTCCTGCGTATATTTTTCGGGGTTGTGCTTTATGCTTCTCGCCGACGTGTTTTTTTGGGTTGTACCGCGTGTTTCTCAGCACGGTGTCTGACGTTTGGCCCCTCTCCGATTTTTTTGCCACATTAAGTCAATCACTCCTGAGTGTAACTGGCCAAACCATGCCAATGCAACGGGACCGTTCGGCAAAGAGATAGTCTTGAGACCCAGTGAGGCTATTGTGACAAAACAATATCATTATTAGAATTATATCTTTTCCACACTTTGTGCCAGTATATCATTCAGATAAGGTGGCAAGCCAGAGAGCTGTGGCCGGAACTAGCAGTGCCATGTATTGTGTGGCTGCAAGTCTGCGTTTTTTTTCATCTAAAATTAACAAGATATCAATTTATCGTGCAATTCGATTTACAATGCCTCTTTAAGCCACGTTCGTGCAAGTAAAGTCACATACTACCTTGAATGCATTCTTTTGTTATTCCACTGAGAAAGAAAGTACTGTGCGATCAAAAAAAACACTTTAGCGTTTTGCATCTTGCTTTAATACGGACCGACGACCCTAATTTTGCGATTAAGACATCCGCAGGCTATGGAAAGACACATACATATATACACACATACACGGGCTCGCGCGCACACACAAAGTCAAAGTCACCCACAAGCGCAGCACACACACGCATACACGCACGCGCACACACTCACAATCGGGCACGCGCACGCAACCACAGCCGCCGTTCGCCACTTCAGCGGTGGTGACGTCACCATGACGCCTGTCCCACGCTTGGAGCACTTTGAGGCCACGTGCATTTGTCGAAGGCTCGCTGACAGGAGGTCACGGGACAGACCCGGTGCGCCATGGGTTTGACTGACTGAGATGATTTGGCAGATGCGCACGCACGCCTTGCACACACAAACGCGCGCTCGTAACTCTGTTTACTCTGAAGCCAGCAGGGTCCCTGCTGATCACCGCATCGATGTAGCCCGCCGCTACTGCGGAGGCCTCGAGCAATTGTTGCCGAGAAACGGACGTCGCTAACCGACGTCCGTTTGCACGCCATCTGTTATTCGTGTAATTGCGCTCTCGTGCCCGTGGCACGTGACTCTCCGTGTACACGTGTGTACAATACAGGGCGCTTCAAACGAATGCTAACACTTGTACGGGACTATGGGTATTGTTGCAAAGTCCCGGAAGTGTGAACATTTGAAGCACTCTGTATATCGCGGGGTGGAGCGGTGGCGCGGTGGTTAGCGCGCCGCGCGATGAACCAGTCGTGTGCCGCGAGTGTGAGCAAATGGAGTAATATGTGAGTGTGGGGTGGGGGAGCGGTCTGTTGGGACCCGAATCGCACGCACTTAATTTGACAGTGAACTCGGCAAGTACATCTGTCCAAGTGGTGGGAAACTATTTAAACAATATGAACTATTTTGATGTTTTGTTATCAGGTAAGGCCCACTGAGTTCCGTAGCTCTGTTTCATAACCTGGCCACAAATGATAGCTCAACGAAAAGGCGCTCATCACGTGGAAATGTATCGCAGCCAAATACTCTAAACGCGTGTTTCTAAATGTGAAGGGAAAAACTGAAGGACCCGGAGAAAAATCCATCGCGATCACAAGGAGAGCGAGAGACATGTCAATTCTAAATAAACAGGCTGTCAGGGTCAGGATCGAACCCACGACCTCCTAAATAGCAGGCGAGGGAGTTAACATCTCGCCACACCCAACACATCTGGTCAGCATGGAAGAGTAGGCCAAAGATTGCCCTTCAAATTGCCTCTCTCAAAACGCCCACTAGTTGGGCGGACGAGGGAGGAGGGCACCTTCCTACAGCAGTGGCGTAGGCAAGTGGACTTGCAAGAACTGCACCTTTTTTTTTCTTCTTGGTTCTTTCGGTAAAGTCACGTAGAAGGGAAGTAATAAAATAATAAAAATAAAACATAATAAAATAATTCTCACGACGTTTCGGCCACAACGCAAGCAGCCGTCCTCAGGTGAAGACCAGGTCTGTCGAGGCAACAGCGTCTGAATGAAACAGCACACGTGCTTGGAGCATATATATAAGCTGGGTTAGAAGGGGGGAAAACTGCACCTTTACCGTCACTTGTCATCCACCTGTGCACGTGGGAAATCCTACCCTCAAGGTAATCGCGCACCTGTTGTCCGCGGGCGTCATCCCTCGAAGTAAATTTAGTGCGGCGGCAGTTGACATCGCTCACGTAAACGTGAGCGAATTAGCCGTTATTGACGCGTAAACAGCCTAGGTGTGCATTTAGAAAACGGCCCAAACATAAATCTCGGTTTAGTGCGTGCCACTTAATCGCAGCTATTCATTGTCCCTTTTAACCAACGGCTGCCGCATTAAGACCACCCCCTGCCCCCCTCCCCTCCCCTCATGTCCGTGGCGGTCAAAACGAAAGCAGTCGTGCTGCAGGGTACCGTGGTTGTGGCCGCAGCGCACTACGTGTGCGGCAGGCCACGTGCGAACGCAATTGCACGCGCGGGTAGCGGCTTCACAGTTCAGCGACGTGGATCATCGTTCACGTTGCGTTTTCCCGTACGACGGACTTGGAATATGATGATGGTGATGTTTTTAATGAATCAAAAGAGCTGCAGAGTTCATGTACGTATTTAAAGTTCTAACCGTTGGCGTCGACTATTGTAAGTTGTTTTACGGGTACAATAACGCTCTGTGATCAAGCTCTCACAATCCTGTTATATATATGCGAATCCAAACTTTGATTGCAAACGCGGGTACGTTGTATTGGGTTTTATTGTTTTGTGCAGCCACCAGTGACTGAGCT